TGGAGTCAGCATTACTGCAGTCACTGGTGAGTAAATCAATTGATTTAAACTGCAATACAATGTTATCACAAACTACTGATAATAATTCAACAGTGTTTTTTTTTTTTTTTTACTTGTCAGAATTCAATTTTCAGGAAAACAGTTGCATAATTTGAATTTAATTTGAAATATCTTTTTTTTCATGTAAAACACCACTGATTCTGCTTCCCATATCTTAAGGGCCTAGTAAGTATTTGCATTTCTTTAATTTGCTGCACTTCTGAATTATTTCTTTGTGTCTGCAATTATCTCTTTGTGTCATTTGGTGATTTTAGTTTTTGTTTTTTACTTATATTTGTCTGATGGGTTTGGGTCTGGAAATCCAGTTGGAAAGCTATGTAAAATATTTTATACTTTATTAACTATCGAACATAGATACTATATCATATAAACTTATTTTGCATTAGCGTTTTTTGAGACATCCACCAACATGTCTCAAAAAAGTAAGGATGGGGATATCAAAAGACTGGAAAAAGAAGTGGTACTCAAAAGGAGCTGCTGGAGGAACCTTTTCAGCTAAGCAGATTACATGATCGGTTATAGGAAGAGCACTTTAGAGAGGCCCGGTTTCTCAAGAGTAAAGATTGGTAATTTTGTCTGAAATGCAAAAACAAAGTGAATAATAATAATAAATAAATAAGTAATATAACGTTCCTGAACATAAAACTGCTAAGACTTTGAATATCTCATCATTGTCATACAGTACATAATGTCTTTGAAAACTTTGCGCAATTTGGAGAAATCTCTCCAATATCAGCAATAGATGTCCATATTTCATGTCTAACTTTCAGAAATTGTTGTGAAGATATTCTACTCTGCCATCCACAAATGCAGGTTAAAGCTCTATCATGCAAAGACATAGGTAAACACAAAATGCCACTGCCTTCTATTGGCCAAAGCTTATTTAAAATGGACTGAGGCAATGTGAAAACTGTTCTGTGATCAGTGCTCAGTTCAAAAGCCTGTATCCTTGATGGTATGGGTGCTTTGGTACACTAGTGCCTAGGACATATTGACAGACTCTTGTGAAAGGTAGAGGTGATGTTACACATTGTTAACCATCACATTCAAAAAAATTCAATTTAATATATTTTTTTTAAATCGTACGTTTTTCTTTTTTCCAGGTAGAAGAAGTTATTTTTAATATTGTTTTGTGGAAAAAATATGGGTTTATGAGATTTGGAAAATAGTGCAATCTGTTTTTATTTGCATTTTAAATAGGGCCCCAACATTTTTGGAATTGGTGTTTAATTTTAAAAACAGAAGCTCGGAAAATAATCCTGATGTCAGGATAAAGCAAGACAAAATACTCACTTAAAAATGTATAGAATGTAAATATAATTGAGAAATTATGAAATAAGAACAATATTGTAATGAGGTCATATGTTCTTGGTTAACTCTACTTCAGATAGTTAAATAAAATAATAATTGCTGAATTTAATTCATAAATAAAGATTTCATGAAATCATAATAACGAACATCATAGTATTGTTTTATGTACTGAAATGAAAAGTAATACATAGTTATTTTAAAAGAGTACATTATCGTTTAAAATGATCTTTTTATTATTTTATGTAAAAATTGTGATTTTGTATCAACAGACTTTATCATCGGACTGAACATGAGACTGAAGTCATTTCCTCAGCTGTCAGACTCAGAAATTCAGGATATACTGGAGGAGGTCAGACTAACCTCTGTTTGATTTTCAGCATCAAGACATTCTTATTTTACTTTCACTTCATCCACTGATTTCCTGTTGTGTGTGCATGTGTTGTTTTTTTCCCCCATCTAGTTCTTCAGAAAAAATGGAATATTGCCACAGTTTTTTTCCCTGAAGGTCCTGAAGGTTAAACCATAACATGAGAAGAGAAAAGAAGTGATTGAATGGAAGTGAACAGATCTATGCAGCAAAGAAGAAAAGAATGTTTCTTAAGTGCCTTTCACATTTATTACTTACTTTCCTCAAAAAGGAACCAAAACAAATTAATTGTTTAATTTAAAAAAAAATACATAAATAAAAGTAGAGATTTTTTTTGCTCTTCATTCTGTGTTCTTTAACAGTAAAAGAGATCATTCAGTAATGGCTATGTGATGTTTTTCTTGCAAGTATTACAATTGTGTTGATGCAAATAAACAAAATTCTGGGATTTATAGTACAACATTATATTTCAAAACCTATTGTCATGTGTCCTGTGTGGCAGACAGGATGTAGGACCCAATTGCAGGGCTCACGAAACAGAATGAACTTAAAGCGTTTATTGCTGTGAGACTTTCCGTAAAAAGTCAACTTCACAAAAAAACAAACCAAAACCTCAAACGTGAAAACTAGAAACTAAACTGGACACTTGAATCTAGAAACTAGCGATAGCCTGCTTGAAGCTGACGCTCTGGAGCGTCTTTCACAAAAAAACACTGCGTCAGAAACACTGTGTCGAGGCTTCATTTAGAACGTAACTCTTCGGCACCTGGTTCAATGGTTTATAAGGAAGTAAATCATGCATGGGATTTGTGGAGTGTTTTGATGGTGAGAGATAACAAACCACTGATCATTCTATTGAGAGATATGGAGCCAGCAAGGAGGAGAGGAGGTTCTGTCACATGGGAGTATTTTGAGTTAATTTTGGTCAATCGGGTGGGTTTGCCAGCTTTGTGTTCTTGTTGTTTGCCTTTGTTTTGGGTGTTATTTTATTTTTAAAACAATCTTAAAATGTTATTCTACAAAAATGTGCAGCAATTGAATTTGTTTATTCTGTTGAGGTGATAGTCTGTGGGACCCAGGAAGACCGTATACCTGCATCTCTACCAGTTTCTGTGCACGCCAGCCTCTTCTGTTCCATGTGAGCGGATTTTTTCTAAGGCAGGAGAAATTATCTCCGAAAGAAACAGACTCGACCATCGCACAGTGGAACAAATTCTCTTCTTAAATAAAAGCCAAACAGGATAACCTTAAATGCATCATGTTTTTACTTTACAAGTTCATAAGTATTTTCCCTTTCCAGTTCACAATCAATTCCAGGTCAAAAATATGTATAAGACAATTGACCTGATATAATATTATTTATAAACATAGCTGTCCATCTGTCCAGTGATTAATTGCATAAGTACATGGAGGCAGGACCTCACAGCAAAAGCATACTCCATAATAATAATGTTCATTATTATTATATGTATATATGTATTTTTCATCTATTGTGTTTACTAACATCAAGACGTCACAAGCAAAGACAGACCACACCATGGCACATGTTTAAATAAGGAAAGTTTATTGATCAAATGTATTTATTAAACAAATAGACATAATTTTTTCTCCCCAAAAAATACATGTTCAAAGCAGCAGAAAGGGGACCCAATACCAGACAGAATTGTGAACTCCACTCTGTAGAGTGGGCAGTCATAATGAAGCAGTAGACTTCAATTTGTAGATTAAAGCTGTTCTTCATATTTTTGGCCACCAGATGTCACCAGAGATGACTCAAGTAATGAACCGTTTTTTAACACAAGCTTCAATGCTTCAGAAAGCTTAGTTTAGCCATCACTACTACAAACTAAGGAACACGAACTAGGAAATTCATGACATGGCAAAGATGGTAGGGAATGAAATATTCTCTCAGTCTTAGGACATGAACATCTTGGATTTTTATAAATGAAATCAATGTTTTGTTCTTGTCAAACTACTCTTAAATAGAAGTTAGTAGAGTACAAAAATCTGACCAATGAGAAAGATGCTTTATAAAATGAAACTGCAGCGTCTGAGTTGAAGGCAACTGGACTTCTTATTAAGTTCTTGAAGACATTTCATTTTTCATCCAAAAAGCTTTTTCAGTTCTAAAAAGTGATGGTGAGTTTCAGATGGACACATATGGCGTCATTTACCATTATCTCAAAAAGCATCTGTGTCTTCTAACCAAAATGTGAGCCTTTTTACCTTCAAAAGAATGATGTGAATATGTACATCTGTGCTGATGAGCTGGGCCTCCTATGTTGTACTATGCATCTGCAGAGTGGGCTGTCCTATGTAAAGGTCTGAGCACTCCTCACTCAATTGCACAGCACACACAGTTCAGTTTGTTTTTATGTGTTTTGTCATTAGGATGAAATAGTTTTTGTCCGAGGGTGTTTCCGGGTCACAGAGTACCAGCATGCTACGCTTGAAGAACACTCTTCTGTTTCTCCCATGAACTTGCAACATAAATTACAACAATGTTTTTTTTGTTTGTTTTGTTTGTTTGTTTGTTTTCCTGAATCTCTTTAGTGTGTGTGTATGTATGTATTAACTTGTCTTTTATTTCAAATTTTGTTTTGTACTTTTTATTGCTTTAAAATATAATAAGCCAACATAGATTTTTTTCAGTCTTTTTTTTCTCTTTTGTGTTCAGCAAATTCAGTCATGTAATCATGTAAGCAAATGTACTATATGAATCAACTCAGCCATTGCCATCGCATCTAAAGCATGCAATGTATCTAAAGGATGCTGAGGATACTTCTGAGGAGGTGAGACTAACCTCTGCTTTTGTTCTTTTTTTCAGTGTCAACACCTCTTAATATTCACTTTAACTGACAATTGACTTTCTGCAGCACCAAGATTTTTTCACTGGGCTTATATGTGACATTTTTAAAAAGTAGGCCTTCAGACAGTATGGATCAGTGCTGCGGTTTTCTGAAGATCTTTTCAGCGTGTTGAGCTGTGAATCTATTGCAGGAGTATGAGAAATGGGTAACAGATAAATCATCCGTGTTCAAAAATATAATATATATATATATTTTTTTAAAATCAACATTTAAGGTGTGCGCAATACAAACACAGCAGCAATACATCCATACAAAGAACTTCCACACAATACAAAACCAGCAATGCACCTGATACAGACCTTACTCCTCCCGCCCAGGAACAAAATGCAAAGGAGAAAAAAGAGAATGAGAGGGAGAGTCGTGTGGGTGTGCCAACAGCTGAATAGGGAGGACTTTGGCTTCACAACCACAGTGCTAGTATTATGTTTCGCTGCCTCAGAGATCAGCTTTCGCATTCAGGAAAGGTAAGAGCAAAACACGATGAGAGATGAACTAGGTATGACTCAACATTATTTTTTAGATATTTCTGCTCTTGATCTGCTTTCCTTTGTACCAGACAAATAACATACTTTATACTAATATCTGAAGCTGTCAGTTTTTACCCCCTAAGGGAATATGTTATACTGAAAAGTTTCCACATCCAAATTACAATGGTTGGAAAAGAAGGAGCCTGTTAGTATGTCTGTTCAGTGTCTCAGGCCCTTTTTTAAAGTTAAGCTTAAAGAGGAAGTGAAAGGCTGAACTATGTCACCATGCAGCTGGACTTTGTCCAGTGAACTGCTTTGAATTGTTTCAAACCATTGATAAGGAGGTTTGTGCGTCTGGCTCTATTCCAAGTACTTACAGAGCTGACAATATGGGAAATGCCTTGAAAAATGACCTTGATCTACGTTTGAGGTCATTTGTTAGCCTTGTAAATGTCCCAGTGTTACCAATAGTGACTTTCTCAGTGACTCAGAAAGTAAATGATTAATGTTTTCTAAGCTCTCTCCTCTCTAATGTTCTTTCTTTAGCTCTGAGGCGATGGCTTCCAATAGTTTTCGTCTGTCAGAGGTGCAGTTTCAGTGTTCCATCTGCCAAGATGTTTTCTCAGAGCCCGTCTCCATCCCCTGCGGTCACAGCTTCTGCTTCACCTGCATCACAACACACTGGGACGTTAGCCGTGCAATTAGCTGCCCCAAATGTCACACAGTCTTTGAAGGCCGCCCTGAGCTTTGTGAAAACTCTTTTGCGAAGGAAATTTCAGAGCAGATCCGAGCGAGAAGGCAGAACGGCGTGATTGCAGCGACAGAAAAAGTCATCTATTGCGATGTGTGCACAGGAACGAAAACTGAGGCACAGAAATCATGCCTCACGTGTCTGACTTCGTACTGCGAGATGCACCTGGAGCCTCACCTGAGAGTTGCCACCTTGAGGATTCACAAGCTGATTGAACCCGTGGCAATGCTGCAGAACAGGATGTGTAAAAAGCACCAAAGGCTTTTGGAGCTGTTCTGCAGAAGTGACCAGAGGTGTGTTTGTGTGCTGTGCACCGAAACCGACCACCGCTCTCACAAAACGGTCCCAGTGGAACGAGAAAGCCAAGAGAGGAAGGTGTGAACTCCTCCGCAGCACTGAACTCTTGTTAAATTAAATGCTAAACTCTGGCATAAGACTGTAACTATTTAAAGGTTATGTCCTCGTTTTAACGTTTAGGTGCAGATGAAGAGAATCGAGGGTGATGTTCAGCAAATGATCCAGGACAGACTGCAGAAAGTGGAGGAGATTAAACGATGTGTGGAGCTCAGCAAAGTGAGTTAACATAAGAGCATAGAATATCTGGGGGTTTAAGCCTCTCAGGCTGTGATTAAAGCACCTAGAAACTGGCACCATTCCATAACAATGGACCGTGAGCTCAGTTTCATCATCATTAATATGCAAATTGTCGTGACCACTGATCAATCAGCACATTGTAAGACAGTTAGGCCCTTTCTCAGTTCAGTTCTCAGATCGTCCCCCTGTCTCCCAGTTGGCATTCCTCCCTGTCCAGGGTGTGAAATCTCCTGGACATTGTCAGGCAATGGTGCTGGTTTCGGTCATTATGTAAGTTCCCTGAGACTGATGAACTCACTTAAATGAGTGACAACACTGAAAACACAATGTTCAGATGGACACAATCAACTGTCTGGGTTCTGTATTGTTCTGCTTGGAAGCCACATGTGTTCAAATGGATCTACTGCTGAACCTTTTGCTGCCCTGAGGAAAAATGTGTTTTTGTTTGTATTTGCTTAATGCCCTCTATAGGTAAATTCAAAGAGAGACATAGAGAAAAGCGTGCAGGTTTTCTCCGCTCTCATTCGTACCATGGAGAGAAATCAAGCCGAGCTGGTGGAGATGATCCAGAGGAGGCAGGCGGCAGCGGAGCAGAGGGCAGACAGGCTCGTTGCAGAACTTGAGCTGGAAATCACTGAACTGCAGAGGAGAAGAAGTGAAATGGAGCAGCTTTTTCACACAGATGACCACCTCCATCTCATACAGGTTAGGAATTTAGTTTATTTTCCAGAAGGTGGGGAGGTAGACAGAAAAACACATGGGAAGTGGCTCCAATTCAGTGGGAGATGGATCATTTGTCATTGTTTTGCTGTTATTGTATCCAGTTACAAAAATCAGGATTTTTTTTAAGTCATCCTGCTTTGTATTGTAAATCATTGCTTTTAAAGTAAGTTTTCTCTTCTTTGTGTCAGAGGTTTCCAGCTCTGAGTTCTCCTCCATCGGCCAAATCCTGCTCTGAAATCATCGTCCATGCAGACACCAGTTTGGGGCTATTACGCAGAGCAGTGGTCAACATTGTGCAGCAGCTGCAATCGGAGCTGAAAAAACTTTCCATTCAAGGTTCATATCTATTCAGCTTTTTTTATGTATTTGTTTTTTGTCAGCATCATTACATTAAATGACTGAACAGCTGCTTTCAAACAACACCGCAATCAAAGATCACACATGGGTGGAGTATTTTTGACCGTATGTTCTGATCTTTTTGCAGAGCATGAGAAGATTCAGCAGTATGCAGGTAAGAGTGTTCACTGTTAACTGTCATGAAAGGGAACATTTATATTTCCTGCTTTGACAAAACAGAAAACCACACAAAAATATTTTCTTATTAGAAATAAGAGGCTAATAAAGTCCCGCATAAACTGTGTCTTCCTACCAGCTGATGTTCAGCTGGACCCCAGGACAGCCAACCCTTGGCTGGTTTTATCAGAGGATGGGAGGCAGGTCTGGGATGGAGAGGCTGAACAAAACGTGGCCGACATACCAGAGCGTTTTGACACGGCGCCATGTGTCCTCGCCCTCAAGGTAATTAAAGATGTAGCGGGTTCCCCTTTAAACATTTTGTCTTTTTGTTGCTCTCTGTGATACACGGAAAAATGGGCAGTCAGTGATGTGTAGCTCTCTCCTTAAACAGGGATTCACCACAGGAAGGCACTACTGGGAGGTGAATGTCGGAGACAAGACAGCGTGGGATCTAGGTGTAGCTAAAGAATCAGTCAACAGGAAAGGTTTGATCACACTGTGTCCAGAAGATGGTTATTGGACTATCTGTTTGAGGAAGGGCAGTGAGTACCGGGCATGTGCTGGACAGGCAGAGCTGTTGTGCCTCGCTCAGAGACCACATGTCGTTGGGGTGTTTTTGGATTATGAGGAAGGCAGGGTGTCATTTTACGACGCAGAGACCCAGTCACACATCTATTCTTTCAAATGCGTCCAATTCACCGACGCCATGCTTCCCTTTTTTAACCCTGACATGAGTGACAACGGCAGCAACAAATCACCACTTATCATCCGCCAAGTCAGTGGAATTGATGAAGGCAAGGACTTAGATGACATCACTATATGATGTACGTCGATCTGGGTTTGTTTGTGTTTTTTTGCATTAAACTGTTCCCTGTTTTGTAATGCATGAAGATATTTTTAAACATTTAAAAACTGCATGCAAATTCTAAAGTTAGTATTAAATTTTTGAATGAAACTGTTCATAAAAAATACTCCTTTCTCAATAAATATCTCAAACTCTACTTGCTTTGCTTAGCAACTGTAAAATAATGATTTCTACATATAGGATATATTGTATTCTGGCTTGTATACTAGAGAATTCATCCTTTTACTTCTATCAGCTGTCACATCATCAATAAACACTAGTGACTGTACATGTCCATGCCATAACACTGGTCCCACCACATGCTTCTGATCATCAACTGTTTCTTTCCTTCTCCTCCCATCATCCTGATACAAGTTCGTCTTGGTTTCATCTGTTTTCTGGCCTTCCCGTTCTTGAGTGTTACAGCTCTAATGTTCTTGTAAATCCTTGTATTTAAAACAACACTGAAAATCTATAGCATACAAATGCAACACAATGAATTGACTGAATCATCTTCGTATGTCCTTTTCATTTGTATAATAAACCATCAGGCCATGAAACTGCTTGTCAGTCAATTTATTCTTAGCCTCTGAAAATACTGTAATAAAAGTGACCTTGAGTAGAAAAGCACTACATGAGAACCATACTCGTGTTTTTCAATCAGCTGCTGTTATCTGTTGTATATGCTTACAGCCTCCACCCACGTATTTATTATCTGCTTCCCTTGTGCTTCAGTAAACAGATCTGAGACCTGCTTCACTCTAATAACAGCTCTCCTCAGTCATTATAACCTAACTACAAACTGATTTCAGAGCACATCTTAATCTACAATCTGATGCTCGCTAATCAGATTATCATGGAAATAGGATTAGCATCCACGCATGTGGAACACTGCTTCAAGATTGGACCACGACTACTATATACTAATGTTTCTCACTGAATTACATCTATGCACGGAAATATATTAACATAGATCTAAAGTAGAAAGCATCTCTCTGTGAAGACTAAGCTAACAGAGGTTGGGAAGGAACGAAAGAAGAAAGTCTTAAGAGGGATTAAACCTGGACAGGACGGACAGACATAAATCCTGCCTGGTTGTGCTGGACACCGGGCTCAAGCAGGAAACACCACACAATTCTCACACGGTGAGTTAAATAGTTCTTATTAGGAAATCTTTCAGTGTTGAAGTCTGAATTCTTTAAAATAAACTGTTAGCTTTTCTGGGCATTGAGCACATTACAGTTTAAAGTAGTCACTTTGGAATATCTTTAAAAACAGTTAGACTGTAGAGACCCTACAATTATTCTCTGTTTTTAATTGTTTATTGCCGTTTAGTGTAGTTACCATAGTGAAACTTTAAAACGTGTCATATTTGCAGTATTAAGGTATTTCGTCTTCAGCAATTCAACCTCATTTGAACCAAATTCAGGTTTTGTAAGGCTGAAGGTTTCTGAGAAGATGAGTCTGTGAAGAGCGGTGTAATGTCGCCGGTGGTGGACGAGACAGCTGGGGACCTCCCAGTGAGGGATGTGGGCCTGATGAGAGGGGGACTGATGCCAACTGTCCCAGGTTGGTTTGTACTGATATGTGTTTTTGTCTGTCATTAAAAACACAACTTGAAGAAAATAAACCAAAACCTTGAAGTACAAGCATCAAAGAGATAATGCCAATGAATGTTACAATTTAGCTTTGCATTAAGTCTCAGTTTATTAATTATGAGCAGGGTTTAGGCAATAAATAAACTGTAAATCATTAGGAATAACTGCAAATATCGCCTCATTGCCATCTTCTCAGATACTCTACGGGATGTCAAGTCCTGGAAGAAGCATCATGTCATGAGGACAAAAGGTAAAAGCACTTCAGGTTTTTATAGTCTGTATGGAAGTCGCACAACAGAATCTTCAGTTTTCATGTCTGTGTGTGCTTTCTCTGTGTCTCCATCTCCCTGTCCAGCAGACCCTCAGCGCCTTTTTCGATTTCCCAGAGAGCACCTGGAGGACCTGTGCCTCCGACTGCAGGAGGAGAACAGTGTGCTAAAACAACACACACGCACCCAGGACCAGAGACTACGCAGGTAACACACGCAAAATACACTTTTTGTACCTGATTCCATACATTTGAACAACGTGGAGCATATTAATGAAAATTTATTTACTGGCAATAAGATGAAAGTAATATTGAAACTCCAAAGAGAGATTAAGGAGTGCCTTTTGCACTTTTTAAAGGCACTTACTGAACACCTGTCAGCCAAACTGTGGCCAATTAAACCTCTCTGCTTTGCCTCAGTATGTCTGCTAGGCTAATGCGTCTTCGTCAGACCAGTCCTGGCTCCAGTGGTGTTAAGGAGAGGGACATGGAGGACACAATACAGGAGCTGGAAGCCCGAGTGGCAATGCTGGAGAGCCAGAAAGGAGTGCTGCAGAACAAACTCAGCCTGGCCAAGCAGCACATTATGGACCTGGGAGCTCGCACACCCTACAAATTCAGTAAAGGTGTGTGCAACAGCAACAACAACAAGAATAGAGGCCGCAGTGATTCCCTCTTAAATCTCTTTATTTTCCTTCCCTGGTCTTCGTGTTGTTAGGTAAAAATCTGGACGGAGACAGTGGAATGAGGAGGGCAGCCCAGACTGCACCACCTCGATATGGCCCTACACTGGAAGACACCAGGGCAGAGATGGAGAGGTTGTAAGTGTCCCATGTGTGATGTGCTAAATGACCAAATGATCCATTAGCTACAGCAGATCATCCTTTAGCGTGACATGACTGACCACACTCTTGCGTAGCTGAAGTAAATCACATGACGCACATTAATAAGCGACAAGGAAAACATCTGCGCTAAAAGCCTCTGAATCTCACTGTGTCTTTCCCACCCAGCAGGTCCACTATGACAGAACAGGTGAGGGTGGCAGAGCTGGAACTAACTGCCCAGGCGCTCAGAGACTCGCTGAGAGAGAAAGAGAAAGAGATTGAGGGGACCTTTCGAGAGATGAGGAAGCAACAGGCCGACAGACACCGGTAGCTACAGCAGAGACATCACAGAGACAATAATGAAACAATTAAATAAAACAGGATAATTGATGTTACTGCATTTTTTGAAAGGCTTTTTAGGGGATATTTATGTTCACTGTGAGAATAACTGTGAATGCTCAGCATGACAGCATCCTAGTTTGACTTAATTTGCTTGAGCCGTTTGTAGCAAGAACATCAAATGGCAGCATTGTAGAGCTAAGTGCCTTTGTGCATGATACAGCATGTATCCTCTCAGCATATCATACAATAATCTCACACGTTGTATCACGGCTGTGCACTCAAATTGAGTTGAGCCCTTTGTGGTCACTTTCACACTCTACCAGACAAGCTTTGCACAGTTCACCAGTGAGTGAATCAGCTGATTTAAAATTAGTCTTGTTTATGTTTTACTGGGCTTCGGCACAGCCTGTCCGTTCAACCCACTCACTGTCTGAAAGCTCACTGTGTGTCGTAGCTCCTCAGTCTCCCTTTTTGAACTTTCTTCTTATTGGCTGCAAATTGCAAACAGAAGGTGTGAGCAAACACCAGGATTGTTCCCTCTCTTTGTCATCAACAAAAACTGAAAAAGCAAAAACAGATCTGTCTGAGATGAAGCCTTGTTTAAAGCGTTCATCGTGTTTGAGCATCCACTGATGTAACGGTGAGGACAGAAAATAAACCTGTGATCTTAAACTTTAAACACAAACATAAGCAAACACTTGCATTTTTGCTTTTTTTTTTTTAAAAAAGAACATAAGTAAATTCATCCATGAAATATGTCCAAAATGATTTGTCTCTACCAGAATAACTATCAGGGAGAATGTGGATTTAATCCGTCTGCAAAAGCAGCTTTCAGAAAAGAGTGCTGCCCTGAGAGTTACACAGGAGAAATTCACCAACCTGCAAGAGGTCAGAAACACTGTCTGTCAAACATTTCTTTTCTTATGTCACAGGAACTTCTTTTTTCAGCTTACTAGACATTTTGCTTTTCTTCTAGGCGTATGAGAATCAGCTAGAAGAGGTAAAGGTCTCAGCACACTGATAAAGTTCAGCTGATGTTTCAGGTAAGTAAAATTTGAAAAAGCGCTAATCGTACTTTTGACTGCCATGTTTTTATATCAGACTCAGAGATCAATGAGGGAAAGTCAAGGAGCTCTGCTGGGGAAAGCTGAGGAACTGACCGAACAACTGAAACAGGAAAGACAAAAAGCTCTGGAACTAGAGGGACAGCTTACCAACACGACCCTGTCTCTGCAGACCCTCGACAAGGTACGCTACCTCATCTGCAGGAACAAATCTAAGAGAGAACCTCAAAGATGACAGAAGGATGTCTATGGGTCATTACCAAAAATCTGGAGATCATATAATATATAATTTCTCTATCAGCTGCAGGAGAGGATATCAGACCTGGAAGGAGAGAGGGACCTGATTAAAAGAAATTATGACACGCTGCTAGAAAGGTAAAAGAGTATGTGCTTCAAGACCAAAGAAAGTTATTAATTCCAATATAAACCACAAAACATCACCTGTTGTTTCAGTGGTTATTTAAACCTTTTTTTCCACCCTTTTTTCAGTACTTTATCTTCTCAAAGCACCCATGATCACCAGGTGGAAAAACAGAAAGAAGTGCTCCAGACAAGCGAGAAGCTCAGGGGAAATATCAGCAGGATGGAGGAAATGCTGCTCGCAGAGCAGGAAGACAGGCGCAGGCTGGAAGTAGAGAAGGAGAAACTGAGACGAGAGAAGGAGATACTGGAGGAGCAGATGGAGCAAGAAAGAGGTCTCTTCATTTCTCAGCATGTGCTCGTCCAAAGCAAACAGGTTGTGTAATAACAACCCCGTTTGTTCATTTCTGTTGTTACATTTAGAGCTTTCCTTGTCTATGAGAGACAAACAAGAGCAGCTGGAACAGGAGGTGCTCCGGTACAAGGAGCAGGTCTCTGCTCTGCAGGACAGGCTGGACTCTGTGAGCAAGGTCCGAAGTTTTCAGCAGCTAATTTACACTTTCTGTGTGTTATCGGTGCTTTAAGCACACTTTGTGACACGGTTCCCTCTCTTCCAGGAGTTTGACATGAGCGTTGAGGAGCTGAGCGAAACCCTTCTGCAGATCAAGGTTTGCACTCCGTTGCACCCTGTCAGACAAACAAACCACATAAATTAGTAGATAAATTGCCTTTTTTTTAGCCTCGTGTCGTTTTCACTGCAGGCATTTAGAACGCAGCAGGAGAGCAAGGAGGGTTTGCGCTTCCTCCTGGCTGATGGGAAGTTGGAAGATTCACCCTGCGAGCTGGTGAATATCCAGGCATCTCATGCTGAGTCTGTGCTCGAATTACAGAAAACCAGAAACCTTTTACTGCTGGAGCACCAAATCACTAAAGACCTGCAGGTTTGCACAGCTTTTAAATGCATATGTGAATTATGTGGAACATAGCCGTTATCGCCATTTTTTTTGCAATTTCTCCCATTTTCTTCTCAAAGCAAGAGTTAAGTACAGTCAGCCAGAAGGTGCAGAGAGAGAGAGAGGAGAGCAGGAGGAG